GCTTTTGATACAGTTTTTCACAACATTCTTGCAAGCAAGCTAAGTAAGTATGGGTTGGATGAATGGATTATAAAGTGGATAGAAGACTGGCTGGATATTTGGGGTTCAGAGGATGGTAATCAGTGGCTTGATGTCTAATTGGCAACCAGTATCAAGTGGAGCGCCCTAGGGGTTGGTTCTGGGGCCAGTTTTGTTCAATGTCTTCATCAATGACATGGAAGATGGCATAGAGTGCACCCTTCAGCAAGTTTGCAGATGACACCAAGCTGTGGGGAGAAGCAGATATGCTGGAGGGTAGGGCTAGGATTTAGAGAGACCAAAACAAATTGGAGGATTGGACCAAAAGAAATCTTATGAGGTCCAATAAGGAGAAGTGCAAAGTTCTGCACTTAGGATGGAACAATCCCATGCACCACTACAGGCTGGGGACTGAGTGGCTGGGCAGCAGCTCTGCAAAAAAAGGCCTAGGGATTACAGTGGACAGTAAGCTGAATATGAGCCAACAGCCTCCCCTAGTCGCATAAAAGATCAATGGCATACAGGGCTCTATTAGTAGAGGCGTTGCCAGCAGATTGAGGGAAGTGATTATGCCCCTCTATTTGGCACTGTTGAGGTCACATCTGGAGTAGTGTGTCCAGTTTTGGGCCCCCTGCTACAAAAAGGATGTGGACAAATTGGAGAGAGTCCAGCAGAGGTCAACAAAAATGATTAGGGGGCTGGAACACATGACTTACGAGGAAAGACTGAGGAAACTGGGTTGATTTAGTCTAGAGAAGAGGAGACTGAGAAGGGGATTTAATAGCAGCCTTCAACTACCTGAAAGGTGGTTCCCAAGAGGATGGAACTGGACTGTTCTCAGTGGTGGCAGATGACAGAACAAGGAGCAGTGGTCTGAAGTTGCAGTAAGGGAAGTTTAGGTTTGATATTAGGAAAAATTTCTCACAAGGAAGGTAGTAAAAGACTGGAACAGGTTACTCAGAGAGACTGTGGAGTCTCCATTCTTGGAGGTTTTTAAGACAAAGCCTTGACTGGGATGATCTAATTGAGGATGGTCCTGCTTTGAGCAGGGGGTTGGACTGGATGACCTACTGAGGTCCCTTCAATCCTAATTTTCTATGAGTCTATCATCATGACCAAAAGCAAATTTATAGAACACTAATCTCCCAACATAGCTCTGTGGTTCTGCCAGCATGACAACCATAAACACGGAACAACAATTATGAACCGGAAATAAATTTGGGAAAATCAGAGTTGGTTTGTGAACTGATCATGAAGACAAAAATGGGTAATGTTGGATATAGTAATTGTTTGTTATGGAGAGACTTGGGTGAACTTTTTATAAGGTGATCAGTCAGAAAGAAAGGGAATGAAATGTGATGAAATGGGAGTGTTCTTATTGAACTGCTAACCATTTGCATGTTGTGAAATGATGTACAGGTAGTGAGGGCTATATGAAGATGTTGGACATTTTATCAATTTAAGTCTTGATCTTCCAGTTGAATCTGTGTGGGCAGAGCCTGGGAATCTACAAGAGTCCATTCATCCAGGGCCTAAAGCAGGGCTAAGGCCTTTAGTTAAAAGAAAATCCTGTATATTGACATTAGTATAAGGAAGCTGTGGAAGTGATACATGAAACATTTTCCAAATGATAACGCACTTGGCTGTCCTTAACTTCAAAGCTGAAACACATTACCATGACCTGACTCTCTTTCTCATGGGAAGCAACTTTCTTGTCTCCAACCCTTTTGCTTCCTCTTTTGAACACATCTAAATATTATCTTCATTCCTCTTTAAGCACACATCCTCCTTTGCATAAGACCTCCAGAAGTGAACTCCCATGTGAATTGTGGTGTCAATATTTCTCTCCACAATCTTCTTTTTCTTTAAGCAGTACAATTGCTGGCATGTGGCTATGAATATGAATATTTGATCAAAATGTACCTTCAGTGATTCCAGGAATTTTATGTCCCCAAACATCTTTTTTGGCAGATGGCCAGTAATGATCTACATTTTTTTTCCATTTGGTTCCACCTTTTTTTAGGTTTAATGCCCTTAGAATAGAAGAAGCATTATGGAAATTACTTAGCAGCTGCTGTACATCAATGTTTAGAAAATTAATATTACCTGCATTACACAGCTCAGAAGCAGAATTTTAATGAAGCACAGAAAATACAAGTAAAATGACCCTTAACCTCATCAGAGAAATATTCAAATATAATTTTGTTCATGAAAACTTGTAATTTCCAGCCAGACTATGTACATAAGTAATAGGAAAATACTATTTTAAAAATAACAAAAGGAATTGATGTTTTTGCACAGACTAGACTAAAATCTGACGGTGACTTTCAAACTGTTATTTGTTCTTATAACTAAGCTTTAGAATTACTTTTTCTTAGTAGTATGACAGTAAAAATGACAACACTATGAACGATCAACAGCTGCGTGCTGCTGGTCTGGGAGCTGCTTCCGTGGTGGCTTGTCTGGTAGCTCTCCTTGCTGCTCCTGC